CACACACACACACACACACACACACACACACACACACACACACACACACACACACACACACACACACACACACCTCTGCCTCATTCAGGTTGACTGATAAGCAAACAGGAAAGCCAACTTGTGCTGCAGCCTTTCCCAGTTTGACCCTGCACATCATCTCATAGAAACCCTCCATGAATAGTCTCACCTGCTTCCTTCAGGCTTATCAGAGAACCCTAATGAAGCAGGAGAGTGTGCACATGCTATGCCCCTTCTAGGTCTAGCTGTGCAGAGTTGTATGAGGAAGTTTTACCTGGCAGTGATGATCACCCAACTGAGAACCACTGTGGGTAGTTGAAGCACCACAAACAGTGGTTCTCAACTCAGGGTCCTGCCAATTCAAACATTTTGGAGAGGGATGCCCCCTGTACAAAGGTTGGAAATCACTAGGCTAATACTATCCCTACCATTATTTAGAAATAGGCACTGGTTTTGTAACATTCTCACAAGAATACCAAAGTATTCTAGGGAAAATGAACACCTTATCCTAGAAAAAAGTTTTCAAAGAAGGTAAACCCATTTTGAGAAAAGGCATGAGTTTGGCCTAATCCTGTTCCCTAGTAGTCAAGAAGTTTTGGTATTGACTGTAATTATTTTAATCCCCTTAAATTCAACTGTGTGACCCCACAAAGATTTAAACTGTTTTCAAAAACAGCATGTGCTATGGTTTTAAATCACCTGACCTACACTGACTCATCTGTTTTCACAGCACTGGCATCAGACAGTTGGCAGATATACTGACAGGTTTCAAAGGCTTATAAGAAAAAGCAAGAATATACTCAGCCTTGGCTTTATAATCATCAGATTAGGCCCTAGAATCCAAATGGGTCCTACTTAGTTTGTTAATCTAAAAACATATCAGTATAATGCAGATTTAAAAAAATAAAAATCTAAAAGGGTCAAAAACAGTGATCGAGTTACCATGCAAGAAAATGGCATTTGCATCCTTGTGTCAGGGGACAGAATCAGCCTCCAATGAATGTTTCAGACAATAACTTTTAGAAAAGGGCAAGTGGAACCTGGCCCTGATGGGTCACTTCTAGTGAATGCAGACAGTCAGATAAGATCTGAAGGGCAAAAAGGCATGAGTGTCTCTTGTCATTTAACACAATATTCAACTGTAGGTGAGAGACACTATCAGGTGAGGTGTTGGGCAGGGACATGGACGATTTCTCCCAAGCTCAAGGATGCACAGGGTGGGGTGAAACTCAGTGCTATAGGCTAGGAGCAGACATTAAAAAATCCTGAGCCAGAATTGATTCAATCTTTGCAGGTTAGTCTAATCTGCCTAGGCTGAATCTGTTTGTATCCCCACAGACATCCCCTCTGGACTCAGAAAATGAAGGCACATGCCTGCAGTGACTCAGACCAGAAGTTTAGCTCTAGAGCAGCCCTCCCTGCCCTTGCACAGTGCTGAGCTGAGGGGAAGGCATGGCCAGGCCCCAGCAGGAGGCTCTGATTAGTGAGGGAACCAGCAGGAGTTTAAACACAGCATTTATCACCCCACCACCAAAACAAAAGTTCAAGCTCTTCTTAAACAACTTGTTCCAAGGAAGAAGGGGCATTACCAAATACCTGTTGATTAGCTCCAAAGAGCCTTAAGCTTGTCCTGACTCCCTTTGTCTGGTCTCCTGCAGCACAGACCTTAGTCAGCATGTGGTCTGCTAGCTAATGCTGAGAGGTGTCTGTGTAAGGCAGAGGGGAGTGGGAGGAATCCTTGCTTAGCAGGGAGTGGGGGCTGGGAAGCAGGGGGAAGCCAGACAGATGCTTGCAGTGTTTGCTGGAGCTCCAGCTAAGGATCAGAGGGGAGAGGTCAACCCTGCTGTAGAGCAGGGAGCCCTGCCCAGCCCAGAGAGCATGCTGGGATGCTGGAGGGGTCTAATTGAATTTAAACCAGGAAGGGTATTGGGACAGGCATTGCATAAACCAGTTTGACCCAAATCAGTTAAGTATGACACTACATTCAACCAGGTTTATCTCAAACTGGTTTCAGCCATTTTCAAACCAGTTTATATGCACTGAACATCTGTTCTGTTACTTAAACCAGTTTCTGATCACTTAAACCAGTTTATATGTAATGTCTGTCCCTAGCCATATTTTCTCTAAATTGAAGGGTTAAGATGAAATTTTACCTATAGTCAGATTATTTCATAATGGCACATTATAGAAATCTTTATTTTTCTTTAAAGTAACTGGTTCTGGTCAATGCTGGAGATGGAATACTTGACTGTAGTGAATGCTAGCCTGACCCAATAGGACATATTCAATCTTTGTATATGTTTGGAGAGCCATTTTATTGGGCAACTCCAAAGATGCAAAGTCTATTGGTGTGACAAAATGTGTGGGGTTTATTACAGAGCTTTATGGTCATTTTTAAAATTTTATTTTAGAACGCTTCTGAGGACCTCTCTGCTTGTCCTGGATTTGTATGCATGCTGGGGTGGGTGAGGTTGGAGGGGGCTGCAATACCATGGTGTCTTAAAGCAACTGACATAACTTACACAGGTTTCCAGGTCCTTTTAGTCCATAGAAAGTGAGAAAACAGGTACAATTATGACTGAAAACACAGCACCCATAACCTCCCTCACTTTAGCATGTGCAGCACGCCCCCCCCCCCACCAAGCTACCTTAGCAGCAAAAAAAAAAAAAAAAAAAGGCTTTAAAGAAATTCTGTCATATTCTATTCAGATGGAAATATTCATTCTCAGACAAGTGTCTCCAAATAATAACATGGCATGCTGGTGTCTTCTTCCTGCACACTTTGACATGCTACCAGGTAACTCTGATGCTTTATTCCAAAAATTGACTTGTGCCCAAGGAAAAGGAAAGAAGCAATGGGCAGGAGACATTAATTTTAGCTGGAATACTCTGTCTCTGGACAGGTGCAGAGCTCAGTTCTGGACAGCTCAGCTGGAAAGGAACCAGAAACATTCAGAAATAGAATGTGACAGTTACTGGATGTGTTGAGAACTAGTTTCTGTAACTGTACAGGAAGTTTTCACTGCGGACAAGCTGCCTGGCAGGAAGATCCAGTTACTCAGAATGGAACCAACTGGAGCACACAAATGAGAGATACACATTTATAGCTGTTAAAGATGGTCCTGTGAACTCAGAAGCTGAGCGATGCAAGACCAAAACGTATCTGTTGGGATGACTACAAAATCTGTACCAAAATCCCAAAATCTGTTGGGATGACTGTACAAAATCTGTACCAGTTCAGTGCACCATAGTTTTTGGTTTCACCAGTCACTGAGGACTAGTCAGTTATTAACCCGAGGACTGGAATGTGCACAGCTATGGAGACACCAAACTTTTGGCTTGGTTATGGGATCCTGAAGTGTTTGGAAAGAACTATTCTGATGCTAATCTGCATGAGCTTCAATAGTCTGAGTGACCCAAGTTCAATGTTATGGGTATGCAGTGATGTCTAACGAAATCACTTCTGAATGAAAATCAGAGGGGAATATTTTTACATATAACACACTAAAGGCAATAAACGTAAATATTATATTGGAAGATTATTTTTAAATATAGGTAACAACATAAAGAATATCTATAGATTAAAATACAGCTCCTGAGCAGTTAGAAGTTATAGTTATAGTATTCTAAATACTACTCACAAGGTTGTATACTATTTATAATGTGTTTTTTTTTCTTGGAATTACATGTTTGATTCTTTGCTAAGAAAGTGCATGATACTTTTTTTTTTACCGTGAATCATTAGTATCTCCTAATGAAGGTTTTATGTACAACAGCCATGAGGTTAACTCTGTATAATACACCCTTAAAAGTCCTGAAAAGAAAGACTTCTGGCCCATGCATCAATGAAGAGTTCAGCTGAGGTGCAGGAAAAAAAAGGAGTGCAATAGGGTTATGCATTCCTCCACCCTGTTACAACTGCTGACATGATACTTTATAGAGACAAGCTGATATAATGTCATATTTGCTTTGAGGAACCATGGATTAAGATGAAGAAGTCTCAGATAGAACCATGTCCATGGTGCAATACCACATGAAGGTCTCCATTGTTTGTTCTCAAGGGCATCTTTAGGGCAGAATGCCATGGCAGAGTTGTGTTTGTTGCTTAGCTGCAGCTTGATTCTCCTTCTAACAATTATTTTGACCACTGGGACCACACAAGTGGTAAACCCAAAGGAGAACTACAATCCCATCCCCAGAGTCTTCAAGCTGTCAAGAGGGGAAAACCACTGTATAGTCTTTCCCTACTGCCTTGCCATTTCACAGTACTTCTCCTTCCTGTAGCAAAATTGTTATTCTCATTGGGAATGAGTGATTCTAAGGCTTGACATGGAGAATGTAAGATTTCACTTTAAGTAATACAGAAACTAACCAAAGCAAAGCAGTTTCAACAGCCCCGCAACAGGAGGGCACTTCCATCCCCATGGGTAGCTTGCCCATTGAGTGGTAAGGGAAGCTGTTTTAGAAGTTATGATTTTCCTTTGCAGAAGCGATTTCTTACAGTGGTGGCCAGAAAGCAACAGAGTAGAAAAACTATAGGGAAATGACTTGTTAGGAAGAAAGACATCTGGGTTAAATGAGCTCTTCACATAATTAATCACTGGAATGTGTCATTCTAAAGAACTGTGTATATTAATTCTGATTGGGCAAAGAACTTTGTCCAAGTATAATATGCACACATCAAATGTGAGAACATGAGTTCTTATATGACCTATAAAACCCACCATTACCCTGCTATTTATACAAACTGCTGTCAGTTCATTTTTTATACCGTGCACAGTGTATTTTAAAATAAATGATGGATGCTAAGTATGGTTAGAGCCATTTCTTGTCATGCGCCACTGGCAGGTGGATTAAATTACCTCTTTGTGTGTTCCAAGTTCAATATATCCACAGATAGGGTGGAAGGCTCCTGTTCCACAGACGTAAACATGGGTCCGGTTGTAGGGCTGAAGAACCCTGATAAAATTTGCACATTCTGTCTATTGTGGAAAACATGAGGGAAATGTTAAGATTGTACAACTATGCCCCCAGTAATACTCACATCTCATCACTTCATTTGCCTCTCATGTCTACGTTTTACTAAGCAATAGCTATGCTAGTCCCACTATAAAAAGAACTGGGAAAACATGAGCAATGGCTAATCCCTGTACATCAGAGAACGATCTACATGCCTATTATAATGGTTGAAGGATGTGGGCCAGGACAAATTATGTGGGAATGGCATAGCTTTGAGAAGGATTTTGGTGAGTTTCAGTGAAGCAGGAGGATCATTCAAAGATTTTCACTGACTTTTCTGGGCTTTGGATCAGCTCCAGGCTGAGTAAAATTCAGGATATATTCACTCCTGAGAACAAAGTCTAGCTATACTTATGCATAACAATAGCTAAAGACAACTTCTACTCATTGCTCCGTATTCTATTTGCAACATTAACATTTGAAATAGGGGATGAAACTAGTTAATGGTTTCAATAAATACTGGAAGCCAATACAACTAATTCAAAGTTCAAAGAAAAAAAAAGCACACAGTATGGAAGTTTTATCTTCTATGCCTTGATTAGAAAAAAAAATACTAAATGTATGTGCTTACCAACTCTTTTTGAATGCAGTTTAATAATCCAACATAGTGCCCTTAGAAACTAATACATACATTGTTACTAGCTACAATAAAATAGAAAAAAAAATACTGTACTTACATGGGCATCTTTCCCAGCTAATTTGCATAATTCCACCTTTTCTTTTGCTGCAGGCCAGTAAATCTGTAATTTATTTAAAGAGGCATTAAGTTCACTTTCAGCTTAAGAATTTAATTATTAAGCACAGCTAAAATAGCTTTAAGTCCATTAAAGAATTTTTAATATGAATAGGAATTAATGTGACTTTTCATATGTATTTCTAGTAGAACAGTTGCAGGGAATTTAAATGTGGTCTGCCATTAGTTCATGTTTTCTTTTTAATTACCCTTTATTCAGTTTAATTATTAACATTTTCCCCCCTGGTTTCATAACTCATGCATTTTCAGTGCTGTGAACTCCCTTTGGTTTTCAAGGATGCGATAGGCCAAAGTAATCTGGAGTTAGCCAAACATAATTTTTGGAATTACATGAATTTGCCCCACTGGCTAACTATTTGGCAAAGCAATTAAGAAATATTAGCTGTTTCTGCCAATTTTAATATGAAAAGTTGTTTTGTTCTAAAAGCTAAGTGTAGCTTTAGGGAAATAGTCAGAACAAAAGTACATTTGTCAGAAATTAATAGCACACCATTTAATAAATAGGACCAATAAGCTAGAAGTGCATTATAGCTAAGCAAATAGGTTTAGAAAATACATTCTTCAGATACCTGAATGATGATTATAAAGAGGATGGAGACAGCTTTTTGTCTGCTTCTATAGAAGCAAGACTAGGAGCAATGGCTTCAAACTGTAGCAGAGGAAATTTAGGGTGGAGATTAGGAGGAACTCCTGAATAGGGCAGGCTGATCAAACATTAGCTTAGTCTACCTAGAAAAGTTGTGGAATCTCCCTCTATGGACATTTTTAAGAACAGATTGTATAGATACCTGGCTGGGATGGTTTAGTCAGGGATGATGCTGCTTTGAAGAAGGAGCTGGACTAGATGAACTCATGAGGGCCCTTCCAGGCCTACTTTCCTATGATCCTATGCTTTAATGCCACAGGTAGAGTAGCTCTAATAGGGTATTAGTACTAGCATTAGGGTAGCTTTGAAGCTTGCCAAAGCAGTCTTACCACAGACTAGGATCTGGTTCCAGGAAATTCATTAAATTCCTGAATCACTCTAAACTACAACATCTACAAAACCGGGGTGAAAGAAACCTTTCTGGGTGTATTTCAGCCATTTTTTGTTTTACTTTCAGACTGAAATGGACTATATTGGCCTTCTACAAGCAGGTTATCATAGAAACACAGACAACTACAATTGAAGGGTTATTAAGAGATCACCTCCTCCAAAAAAATTCCTGTTCTTAACTGGTATTTATCTAACCTGCTCTTAAATACTGCCAGTGATTCAGATTCTGCAATCTCCCTAGGTAATTTGGTCCAGTGCTTAATAATCCTTATAATTAGAAGGGAGGAACTGAATATTTTAGAAACTTCTAACCTAAATCTCTTGTTATAGTTTAGGCCCCTTCTTGTATCCGCCATGGACAAAAATAGTCTTAACTTTGCTGCTCCTCCTTGCAGTGCCCTTTTGCTTATTTGAAGATTACTGTCATGTCTCCTTTCATTCTTCACTTCTCTAAATTAAACCAATCTAATTATTTCAATATTTTCTCATAGGTCATGTTTTCTAGACCTCTGCCTATTGCTCTTCACTGGAATATTTCCAACGTGTCCATATCTTTCGTGGAATGAGGTGCTGTGAGTTGAAAAACATACTCTAAATGACCCCTTAGCAGTCCTGACTAGAGTAGAATAATTTCATGTGTCTTGAATACAATATTTCTGTATATATACCAGTAGGATTTCTGAAATAGTATAAATTCATTGTCTCCTGTTCAGTTGTGATCTACTATAACATGTAGGCCCTTCCTCAAAGAACTGCTGCCTAGTCAGTTGTTACCCAATATGAACTTGTGCAGCTGATTATTCCTCCATAAGTGTAAACCTTGCACTTGTTCTTGTTGAATTGCATGTGATTTATTTCAGATAATTTCTCCAATATGGTTGTGTGTACATGAGACACTTTACTGCACGGTAAACTAATCTATTGTGAAGTAAAGTGACATCATCTACACATGTGTGGCATTTACTACGCAGTCAATTAGTTTACTGCACAGTTAGCTAGTACCTGTAAATTTGGTCCTGGTCAGCCACACCAGCAGGGGGCCACAGGGGACAAGGGACTTCTCCGTCTCCAGTCTTGGCACTGCTCATCTCATAGCTAATCCCAGGAACTGAAAACCAATCAGCGCCGTCATGGGGTCACTCTATGACCTCTCCCATCCTGGGGATGCATGGCTCCTGGCTCCCCAGAGGAGCTGGGAGCCATGCAGTGCCGGGGCTGGGGACCTGTCTGCTTTCCCACTCAGACAGGGGCTTGCTGGCAGCTATCCCACTTGTGGAACAGCTGCTGGCAAGCCTATTTCCAGGTTGGGATTCCCTGGCCAGCACAGGGCTGGCTGGGGAAACGCTGCCCAGCAGGAAGCTCACTGGCAGCTGCCCCACAAGTGGGAGAGCTCCATGTGAGCCCCCTCCTGGGGAAGCAGGGAGCCCTGCAGGGCATGGGGTTCACTGGCAGTTGTGTGTCCCAATGTGCACAGGGCCAGGAGAGCTCTGCCAGCTGCAGTGGCAGATGTGTCCTGGCCCCATGGACAACAGGACCCCTCTGAAGTGCATGGGGCCAGGAGACAACTGCTGTTGCAGCCAGCAGACCTCTCCTGGCTCTATATATATCAGGACAGGCCCCCGTGTTCCCTGCCAGCCCCCAGGCTAGCTCCAACTGGAGGGGGCAGAGCAGGGCAAGAGCAGCCCTGCACCAGGCTGCTCCCACTGGGAGCAGATTTGCTCCCAAAAGGTTGCACGTGTAGATGCACATGACATACTGAACTACCATGGAAGGTAGTGAGGTTAAAAGGAAGGGAGGCTGCTTTTGGGAGGATGCTGTTGAAGAAAGACTGAAGAAGAGTTATGTAATAAATCTAAGGCCATGGTTCCTCAAAGATAAGAGACCTATCTGGGTGGATCCCAATGTTTATGCAGATCTCTTTTGCAGGGCTAAAAACTGAGGTACATCATAAGTGTTCATTGCCTTGTTGACTGAGGAAAATGCCACAATCAGTTATGACTATAGAAGAGTCTGTTGGTTTAGTTTTGAAGATTTTACAGCCCCAGAGTTTAGCATTATAAATCAGTCACTGGAAGGTATAATTAAGTACTGAAACCATTTACAATTATGTACAGAGGATTTAATAGAATGTTTGTTTAATTTACATGCAAGAAATCAGAAGTTCCCAGAAAATGTAACAGATCTACAAAACTACACAATAAATTAAAGAGTATTATCACAAGCCAAAGTACAGAACTATATTTTAGCTTAGCAATCAATATACATAATTATACCTGCAGACATTGGTGCACATAAGTAACTTCATTCATAAGTTATCCGACTGATTTCTCATGAGTATAGGCTAATTTGCATGCATAATTGTTTCCCAGACAACAGCAATGGACTTAGTCTAGATGCTTCTCTTGGAAATACGTTTTAGTCACTGATAAGTTATTGGGCTCAGTCTCATGCAGACTAGACAGTCTAACAATTCTGTCTGGCCTTCAAATGCACAAATCTGTAGATGGTTGGCAGAGTCACTCTCTCTGATCTGCAAGAGAAATTTCAACTGAGATGTATAATGCCAAATAATCGTTTTCAAATTTCTCAGCATTTTGCATCGGAATTCTGAAACATGAAGGTCATAAATGTTGAGAATGAACATGGACAAAAGTTAAAATATGTTATATGGATATATTACTGTTACTACATATCATTTTCAAGTCTAAAAGCATTAGGTTGAATTTAGAATATATAAGGTTGACTTTCATTACATTAATCCATAGGGTTGGCTTTCATTCTACAAATCCCACCTATTAAATATTTATAATGTTACACATTTCACAGAGATCATCTGTACTACAAGTATCTGTGACTTTTCAGGTTACATAAGTGAAGAAAGAATTAAATTCATATCTATCTACTTTAAAGGGGTTTCCCCCTCTCTGTCCTTTTAATTTTTTGTTTCTTTTTCTTGCAATGTATCTATGTTGAAGATTAATTATGCTATTACTGTCTCCTGATTGTATCTTGTGTTATTCTGATCAAAATGTAATATATCACTATTTTTAATTAGTTCTACAAAAATACTCTTTATCAACATTTAGGAATACCAACATTTAGGAACCTGATATAGTTTCACCTCAATAGCATGCAATGCTTCAGAATAGGTTTTGAAGGAAAATAATTAAATAGTCATTGAGGTGAATCTAAAAAGGGAAAAAATGCTGTATGGGCTTACCAAAGGTAGATCGTGCCAGACCAACCCAATAACAATTAAAAACATATAATAAATGCAAGTTAATGTGATAAAAAAATTAGACCTACTGCTGTAGTGTTTTAGAAGAACTAGGTATTTATTATTACTTGCTTCCACAGTACCTATTAAAATAAAGACCACTGACTGAAGCCTTTCAGTACTACTACAGTAAATATAATTACATAATAATAAATCAAGGAGATATTCACTATGCCAAAATTTTGAAAGAACAGGCCTGTTACGTTCAATAGCAAGTTGTGTTGGGTTTTTTTTTAGTAAACCTATCAAAATCCAAGGTGGTACCATAAAAGTGAAAAACAGATCATGAGCCAGTAATAAAGAGAAGGAAAAATGTGATCAATGTAACTATGATCTCACCTCATTAGCATTCAATGCTTCAGAACACATTTTGAAGGAAAAGTAATTAAAGAGGCATGGAGGTGAATGTAAAAAGGGATAAAAAGTTGTATGGGCTTACCAAAGGTAGATCATGCCAGACCAACTTGATAGCTTTTTTTGATAAGATACTCTACTCAAGAAAATTGCCTCACCTTCCTGCACCACATTCCAGGAACTTCCTATGAAGGTCTGGTACTACTTAATACATTCACTTGGATGATGGAATGAAGAGTGCACATTCAATTTGCAGAAGATTCTAACAAGTAAGAGGTTGCAAGCATTTTGAAGGACAAAATGAACTTCATACAGGGTG